ATGAACTGATGAACTGTTAGTGTAGACCGTTATATAATTTTGATAGCTCCAACCGAGATTGTACATAGATTGCACAATCTGTTTGTCATTTTGGGATACCCCAGGGCTTTTACTATCCTAGCAGCCCTCCATTGCCCACAGCCCTGCTAGTTCCCATGCTCACTTTCATGCATGTAGCTTCCTGAGGGTTGTGCCAGGCTGTGCCTCATACTTCCACTGTTTCTGGTATTTAAGGGTCAGGCTGCACCAGGACAAACAGAGAGGGTGAATCTAACCCGACATACACACACAGCAATAAAAACCTGACAGTTCTTCTAATCCCTCTCAACTCTATCTGATGCTGGGCACACACCTTACAACCATCGCAAGACTTTTGTCTTGCGATGGTTGTAAGGTAATTAAAAAAACGTACGATCTGCCTATCTTGGACAGACAGATCGTACTTGCGATGATCGCAAGCCCGCCCCGCTGAGGGGCGGGCTTCTGATGACTGCAATGCTAAACGGGCAGTGTGCTCTTGTGCACACCGGCCCGTGCAGCTTTTATCTTGCGAACATGCCACAAACCTGCCGAACGTCGTACGATACTCGGCTGGTTTTGGAACATGTTCATAAGATAAAAGTCGTGCGACCTTACAGTATTAGAGGTCGCACGCCTTCCACACACCTTGCGATAATCGTACGATCGCGGGATTTCCCATGATTATCGTACGATTATCGCAAGGTGTGTAGGCACCTTAAAGCTAAAAAAAAATAAGTTGTATCTTTAGTTCTACATAAATGAAGGTTTCTCCCACAACTTTAAAATGTTTACTGAAAATTGCTAGGGTCTGTGTCTGGGCAGATTCAAGATAACCGAACCACACTGATATGCCTAGTAACTGGTTGCTGAATATTTATGCAACTGAACAAGATTGTTGGGAAGTGTCCCAGGTGAGCTATAAGGATGATGAGTTGATATGCATGCAAGAATGTTGCACAGCATACATTTATTCATAGGCTTAAAAAACAAAATTTTGACAACACTTATTTTTTGACATGACTTCCTCATATTGCAGGAACCTCCATTTAAGGAACATCCTGCATATAAATATTTGTCAGACAGAACATACCATGGATAGTAATGCTTTTTAATACTGTTGGACCCATGACCGTCCTAGATCATTCTTCTATAATGCATCAATATTTTACAAAATTCTGTTTTTCAAACACAGAAAAGACCAAGGAAATATACGCTTTGAAAATCCCTTCACAGTAATTTTTCAAATAAATATTTTTTCTGAGTTTTTATTCTTTACTATAATTTGTAGAAATTTACAATTGTATGTTTCTTTCTCCTAAATGTAATAAACTTTTATTCTGGGGACAGTAGGGAAGGGAAAATGTGCAAGATTAAAAACTCATACTTTCCCTCGCATTTCATTGGCAGAAAATTAGACCTGCATTTGCTCACTGCTCTTAGTAGATACAAAGTTTGTATCTTTGTTGTATTTTTTCAAAATAAAGGGCTAGTGGTCAATAGTCTTTTTAACCAGAAGTGATTCCTTGAAACGTGACCACAGAGTCTAATTGGAATCATCTGTTCAAACACAAAAAGGACAAATATAATCCTGTGTTTAAAAAGAAATCCAACAATTAGTATTAAATCTGTTTTCCAGTAATCTCTCAATAATACTATATCATGGATTTCTTTTCATTGTGCAACAAAGTCAGTATCATGTCAGAGGTAATTTCCTTGACAAAAGCAGAAGTGCATAATCATTATCAATCAGGAACCTCTTAGTCAGATGTCCACACTGTTGGAAGAAGTGAGTATGTGGGTACATGCAAGATCATGGCAATACATAACCCCAAAAAACATACAACTTGTTGGATTAAAACCTTTTCATTAACACCATTCAGA